AGTTCTAGACAATTTCATTTTTTTAAAGTGCAGCCTTGAAAAACAGTAAAAAATAAATAAAAACATTAAAAAGCTGTATATTTACTGTATATTACAATTTTTTTGTAAGAGAGGAAGTGATCTTTTTCATTATATAAATGTCCTGCATGATAGTGAGCCATTATTCTATGGAGCTGGAATCCATTTTTAGCTGTTTTCATGTAGGTATCCTCCTTTATTTGAAATAAATCCACCAAAAGCATGGCCACCCACCTATACTGGCAGCCATTACTCTGAAAAGCAGCTGAGAGGCCAACGGCTACTTTGAAGGATCTGCAGAGATCCACTGCTGAGGTGTGCGTATCCGCTGAGAGGACAAATATTCATTGTGCAATTCAAAGACCCAGCCTTTATAGAAAATGAGTTAGAAGAAACAATGAGGTTCAATCCCACTATAGGACACAGCAAAAAGCTCTAATCTAATACATTTGGACAGTTCAACATGGTGGTGGAAGCATTATGCTGTGGGCTGCATTTTCAGCAGGGAAATATAGGTTGGTTGGAGTTCATCATAGGACCCTTGTTAAAATGTTCTCTCTGCCATTTTGCAGACATTTGTTAATCAAATCATTTGACCTTTGATCGACCTTTTCTACTTTTTAACTGAGTTCTTCTTTGCTGCTGTCTTTTTTTTCACATAAAATATGTTTTTATTTGTAAGGTGAAAAACTGAATTTTGAAATTGTGCCCTTTTAGATCAAGTAAAGTACGATTAAAATCATATCTTTGATCTTTGACCAAATAGAACTGTGTCTGGATGAGCATTGCTTTTTACTCACCATCTATACAATATGGAGAATAATAAGGAGAGGAGGAATAGTGAAATGTGCTGTAAGCTTTTCTCTTATTACAAATCAGAAACGGGCCACTCGGCTGTCACGTTCACACAGTAATTATCATCTATCTGAGTGACTCTGGCAGGAAAATCTCATCCTTAACTGCAAAAACAATCTAGAAAATACGTAAAAATGTCTTAAATTAAGTGTATTTACCCTTAATCTGAGTAGGTAAATAGGATGATCTGCCTATAGAATGAGCATTTTACTCTTAAAATAAGATAATTAGATAATATGCACTAGAAATTAGACATTGCAATTGTCTTATTTCAAATTTAAATTGTCTTGTTCCATTTACAAAGTGTCTCACTTATCTCCTCAATTCAAGAACAAATGCACTTAATTTAAGAAAAATTGACATATCTAGATTGGGATTTTTCCAGTGTAGCAGTGAAGAGTTACATGGGGATAATTTAGCTCGGGTCTCAGTAAGAACAGCTTTAAAACCAGCCCAGAGAGGCAGGCATGGAGCATCTATCTCTGCTTCCTGTTCGCTCTCTACAGGTGGGGAGGAAAAGCCTGACCGGCTGCCTATCAAATATTAATACGGCCCTTTGATGAAATACAGACAGAGCATAGTGAAAGGTGTGAAAGGCAGGTCATGGCGTTTATTATGGATCCATGGCAAACAGCTAGAGAGAGCGGTTCTACATATGAGAAACACTTCAGCTGCAGAGAGCGCGTCCTTATCCAAATCACACTATATAATGTTTTTTATTTATTTCTACATTCTTAATGTTAGAAGCCCATTATAGCAAAAAAGTCAGTGGATTTTATAAGGATTTATATTTATAGATAAATATAGATTTATTTACAAAAACTGGATATATTTTTGTTTCAGCACACCACCAGCATTTTCCAATTATTTCTGGCTACCAATTGAATTTCAGTGTAGACCGCTCTAACAGGCAAATATATTTGATCTAAATGTCGATTTTAGTTGGTTAAAGTCTCTTCTCTCTCTTATAATGTAGTGCTGAATGGGTTTTCTGTGCTGTGGGTTTGGGTAAAGCCCAGAGTTTAAACACATCTACTATATTACAAGCAGTGGCGCCTCCAGAAATGTTTCATAGGGGGCCCCAAACGGGGCCACTAAAAATCTTGGAGTGGCACTGAAACTAAAAGCCATAATTTCAAGGTTATAGTCTACTGTTGTGGTAAACCTGCCTGTAGAAATCATAAAGACTTCAGTATTTTATTGTGTTTATTGTGTGATTTTTAATGTTACGTCGCTAACTGTGCATAATGTAATGAAATGCTTAACTGATGGTACTACAATTTACACTGTTGAGCGGGGTGACCGCACCGATTACAAGTTTCTTAACTCCACGATAAGTGCATTTGGCAGAATTTATTTAACTAAACTATTTAGGGATGAAAGAAGGATTTTCACAATTTTCCTACAGATTTTTCTTCTTTTTTCCCCCCTGGATGAACTAATTCATCCTACCTCATTTGACTTATTGTCTCCTGTTGTTGCATGCTATCAGCAGGGCTTTTCTTAAGGTGGAAAACTTGTTTTACCACTCTGACTGTATGATCTGGTTGAATTGTTTCTGTGAAGTGCTTCGAGATGACCTTTGCTGTGAATTGGATCTATATAAATCATTTGAATTGAAACTTAATTTCATTTTTGTTGTTTATTTTGACATAAGTGCCAATAAATGTGGGGAATGCTGCATTCAAAACGTCTTTACTTCTTTAGGTCTGCTCCAAAAACTTTAAAAAATAAAGTTTATTTCTAATGTAATGTTCATTAAAAAAAAAAAAAAAATATCCAGAATTTGACAACAAGGCTGCGTGGTGCTGGTTTCACCACTAGATGGAGACAAACATCTGTGCCAATTTTCAGAGTAAAAAAGCAGAAAAAACAAGTCAAATCTCTTTGTGTCAGAACCATTTGTTTTGTTGAGATTTTGCAAAATAAGAAGAGATTATATTCTTTAATCCCCCAAAAGTAGAATAACATAGATTTAAACTCTAAGTTTTCTTTGCAGATTGTTATGCTCTTGTGCTGGCACACTTTGTGGGATATAGAAATCTTTCACCCCCTGATGTCTTTGCTGATGGAGGGGTTACACTGCTTATTTACGCTCCTTTCAAATGCATGCCTGAATAAACTGAATTTATAGGAATCACATCAGAGCAAAAGGCCCCATATGACAAAAACTTGCTGTCACCACCGAGCAGCAAATCAAAGGGAAGGCTCCGCAGGGTTACAGTGTATCATCCTCTGCCAGCACATTGGGTTAATTGGGACCAAACCAGATACATTTGTAGCAAAATAAAAAAAGAAGCCTTGATTAAGGGCCCCTAAAGATGTTACATCATGTGAACAGACCACCTGTGGGGCTCTTTTGCTATTTCAATATCATTCATGTCAAGGCCCCTGCACTCACTGACACAGCTTGAGCCGAGAGCGAGAAGATGTTTCAATTGAGAAAAGGAAAACAACACAAGAAGCAGGGGCTCTGGCAGGTTTCAGCTCCCACAAACACCTCCCCTCATTCCAGCAAAAAAAAAAGAAGAGGTTCCCTCAAAAAAAAAAAAAAGCACTTTCAATTGTAAGACGTCCATCAAAGCGTCCAAATGGGGACGTTTAGGGGGAACCTTGGGCACATCAGACAGACACTTCTAATGCTTGCCACCTTTATTCCAGGCTGTTAAAAAAAAGAAAGATCAAAGTTTCTGCAGATGAAAAGGGTCCGTTCCCTGCATTTACAGCCCGCCGCCCCCCCTTTTCCATTCATCCAACTCCCTCCTTTACTAAATTAAGAAAGCAGGCTTCAGCAAGCATGTGAAGAGGACTTTAACAATTATGGAGATGCTCCAACTCAACCCCTGCCTCTAATTACCGGTCTCTGATGGTTAAAAAGGGGGCTTCCCTTTTTCTCTAGTCCTGCTCTCAGGAAGCCGCCACCCTCGATGGAGTGACCACTAAATATTCCCGGAGTGGGGCGGAACACAGGGGAGTTTTCAAAGCTCTTAAAAAACAGGAGCCACTGATAACATTTGGGTGGCATGCCAGAAGGAGAACCAAAAACAGATTTTAAGCTGCTTTCAGAAGCAGCAGTCATATATCTAAAGGAGGCCCTGCAGCAGGTCAGTTACAGACATTGAAAGGTGATGCACTATAAATGAATTATAAATATAAGGAAATATTGAAATGCATGCTGCAGTTCTCCTATAGTCGCTCTTTTAGTTTCTATAATATAAACGAAACAAGAATTTAAATGTATAAAAATGTCCTGCTCCCCCCCTCCCTTTTGGTGTCACCTCTAGGTCCATGTGGTATGGGGGAAAAACAGCAAACTTAAAGATTTATCCAATGTTTTATTGTCAAAATAAAGGTCATATTTGCTTTGTCAGAAAAAAAAGAAGCATCTCTACACTTTGTACACATTTACAATATCTTATAAAGTTTCCTTTATACACAAATGTACACAGTTTTATTTTACATTAGCTTTTACTTTATATAAATACATCTGAAATTACAAAAATGAAGGACCCGTACAAAAAAAACCAAAAAAACTTGGGCACTATTAAGGCTTTAATTTAACCCCCACCCCTCTCATTTTTTCCCCTCCATTGATTGAATTATGCGTTTTTATCTGCCAGAAAGTAGATAAAATGGTTGTAAAGAATGCTTACATCACCAAGTAATGCCCTGTTTGCTCAGTGTGTACCTGGAACCCCAGAGCCGACCCGAGGGATATGCAAACTAGGAAGTTGCCCAGAGAGCGTCTCGATATACAGGTTTGCAAAAGCTTTAATAATTTAACAGTGTGGGGTTTTAAAAATCATTTCTGCAACTTTCTAAATCCTTTTTTTTTTCATTTTCTTTCTGGTTGCTTGTGATCCAAACTTTAAAATATACCCAAGTTGCTTCAAATCGCCCAAGTGCATCATCATTTTAAGAACTGTTAACCCCCCCCTAATGCAATTCTCCTGTGGGCCTCATATAACCTAGGGTCGGCCCTGTCTAATACATATAAACAAGAGGGAATTATCTGGTGTGAATGCTAGGTGCAGCTCTGCAGCAGTTCATTACAATGCAAATTGTTTCAGACACAATGTGATGGGTTATCTCCCAAACAATTAGCAGTCCTCCATAAGCTGCTTTCACCCCCCATCCCATTTCAGACCTGGGACAGCGGCATCTGCTTGGGGCAGGACACAGAGCTGGCCGTGCCTGACCTCCACGTCAGCCCAGTGCTCACATCGCTGTACATTGACCCCCCGGTGCCTTTACTGCCCCAACAGCAGCGGGTGCAGAAAGTCCTCCAGGAGTCCACGGTCTTCCCGGACCAGATCCACACCCCGGACGTGATGCCCACCAGAAGGCACATGAAGTACTTGAGCATAAACACCGCGTAGTCCGGGCTCCTGCGCTCCCGCTCCAGCAGGCAGTTGGAGCAGTTGTGCGTAATCTCCCAGCTCTGCCTGTTGTGCTGCTCGTAAAAGTAACAGGCCACTATAATAGTCGCTGGCACCGTGTAGAGCACGGTGAAAATCCCGATCCGGATCATCAGCTTCTCCAGTTTGTCAGTCTTGGTGCCTCCTTGCTTGATGACGCTGCGGATCCTGAACAGGGAGACAAATCCAGCCAGGAGAAACATGGTCCCGATGAATAAATAGATCACCAAAGGGGCTAAGACAAACCCACGAAGGTTGTCCAAGTTCTGGTTCCCCACGTAGCAGATCCCAGCCACGGAGTCTCCATCCACTGAGCTGAGCGCCAGAACCGCGATGGACTTCATGCTGGGGATGAGCCAAGCGGCGAGGTGGAAGTACTGGGAGTAACTGGCGATCGCCTCGTTCCCCCACTTCATCCCAGCAGCGAGGAACCAGGTGAGAGACAGGATGACCCACCAGATGGAGCTGGCCATGCCGAAGAAGTAGATGAGGAGGAAGACCACGGTGCAGAGCGCCGGGCCGGTGGTCTGGTAGTGGATGTGCTCCAGCTCCATCTCCCGGTTACACGCCACCTTCTCGTGTCCCGCGATCAACCTGACGATGTAGCCCACAGAGACAAACATGTAGCAGGCGGACAGGAAGATAATCGGCCTCTCTGGGTACTTGAAGCGCTCCATGTCGATGAGGAAAGTGGCCACGGTGGCGAAAGTGGACACGAAGCAGAGCACGGACCACAGGCCGATCCAGAAGGTGGTGAAAGCTCTCTCGTCGTGCGTAAAGTAGGGGTTGTGGCACGGCATGGCGCAGTTGGTGATCTGGCCCGTTTGGACTCGGTTGTAAAGCGGGTGGCGGTCGGTGTTCACCGGAACCATGGGCTCCAAACACTTACAGCCCGGTTCGCACGGGACGCTGGCTGGCTTGTACTTCCCAGGTCTGGCGGGTTTGTTTTTAGCAGGGTTGGAGCCTTTCCCGGGATGGTTGGTGGGTTTAGAGAGCACCGGGGACACGGTGGTGGAGTCCGTCCTGTTGTAGTCCATGCACAGCGTGTCCGGGTTCCCTTGCACCGGCAGCAGGTCGCACTTCATCCTGTCCGGCCAGGGGAAGCCGTACTGCCTCATGAGGGGCGCGCAGCCGGCACGGGCTCTCTCACACACGCTCCTGCACGGCGGAAGGGGCTTCTTGTAGTCCTCCAAGCAGATCGGGGTGTACATGCTGCAGAGGAAGAACTTCAGATCCGGGGAACACTGGATCTCCACCAGAGGCCAGAACTGGTGCACCTCCAGACCAGCCTCGTCCTGCGTATCGTGGTTGAACTGATTGGGCATGTAGGTGTAGTTATAGCCGATCCCCTTGCACAGGGGTACGACTATTTCCTGGCAGGTGATCTCTTTGGCTGTGGTGCAGCTGGACCGGGGAAGGAGAGCGAGGCAGAGGAGCAGGTAGATCCCGAACAGGTCCATGTCTAAAGCGGGTCGCTTCCCTTCCCCTCTGCGGCTCTGATGCGTACAGATCGGGTCAGATGTCGCGCGCCGAGCCCATCTCTCCTGCCCTGCCGCGCGCGCTGTGCAAGCCGTGTTTACTCTGCGCTGATGAGGGAGCAGGACAGTCAAAGATGGCTGAGATGAGATTTCAGCTCCACAGCAGCTGCTGTCTGTCACATCAGTAGGTCTGCAGCCAAAATGAATAAAAAAAACCCAGAAACGGCGGCGATTCAGATAGAAGCGTGGCCTCCTTTCTTTCCCAGCCAAAACACGGAGACTGCATCCACTCAGCTCTCCCCCCCCACGTCTCGCAGAGCTTCCATACAAATCATGGGCTCCACGGTGGAGCTGCGCCTTATTATACTGGAGCCTGGATGGACACCCCCTCGGATCAGCTCCTCCAATCACAGAGCGCCGGAGGAGGAGCTGCTCCATCCAGTCATTCAATGTTTACATACACAGATCATAATGATCCTCACCTTCTCTCAGCTTCCGCTGCTCCAATCTCACACATCTCTGGAAAGAATTGACTTCCTTAGATCAAATTAACACATTATTCAGAATTTTGTATTTTTCTTCCAACTCTATCAAGGACAACCTCCTCTATATAATCATGTTATATTCATGAGATAATTTACCTTTAATAATTATGGTAATTATGGAAAAAAGTACCAAAGGAAAGTCATTAAAAAGCCTTAATAAGTCACATTCACAATTGACTTTAGTCCACTTAGAGAACAAAACAACATTGTGGAGGAAAATTAAATAGTGAAATGAGAAAATAACTTTCTAATACTTATATGCAAAAGATAAAAAATAAATAAAAAACACAACACACCAGTTCAACAACTAGGTTCTAGTTTTGGGGGAACTAAATAACCATTTATAGCCCTGTAACCCTTAGATCTAAATCAAAATGGTTATCCAATCTCAGTATGACCAAGGGCAGAGCTAGATGGGGGGCCAGGGGTGGCCATGGCCACCCTTACACATTCATTGACCCCCCCAATACAGGTTGGAGCAGTAATACTCTCAATTGAAATATTCAAAATTCAGATTCAAATACAGAATTCATGCTCTTTTCAAAACTAGATTTTATATATGGGGTAAAGAGAAAATCCAAGTCATCTAGGAGTCTTCAGTAAAATCATAGAGAAATAACTATTTTAATAAAAACTTATTAAATAATACATTTTTGTAGATATTATTACTTGTAAATATCAACTTTATACAGAATGATTATTGATAATCGTAGGTAAGTAATGACAAAAGAAAATATGTTTGTCCAAGAACTCAAAAGCTGAAAGAATTGTATCAACTATACCTTATAACTAGGAAGCACGGATGTTTATATATATGCATCTATTTGTTAGCAAAAATTGTAGGAAAGTATTGCTTGTCTTTATTAAAAAATGTGGATTCTGTGCTCATTAATTTTCCTGTTGGAAGAGTGTAGATTGACCCTGAGCTTCATGTGCCCATCCACTTACGGCTATGCCTCATCGTCAATGGTTACCACCTGGCCACCCTTATAAAAATTTTGTATGACTAGAAACTAAAAGCGCAACAACTTCATTTTTAAAATCCTTGATAAAATAAAACAGTAAAGATAAAAACTGTAATTAATCAAACAGACATTTCAGACTTAGTTTCTTGTCCTGCACATATTATATTTATTCATCATACCTATAACTTTTATGATGTTGTTGATACAGGGGCCAAAAGAGGACTAGCTTCTGGCCCCTATAGGCCCCTGTATAGAACAGCCAGTGTTACACCTGATCCTGAACACAACATTCCATGTTGTAAAGCATGGGCTTGGCAGCGTCATGCTGTGGGGATGCTTTATTTAAGCAGCGACAGGATGAAGCCATGATTATTTATTATCCAACTCTTTAGTATTTTGACACACTTTAATTTTTACTCCACCTTTTTTCAAAGTTATTTAAAAATTATCAATTTGCAAAGCATTTTATATTGATCATTTTCTGATTATGACATTCCCATTGAATTATTGGGAGTTGTTTACATGGCCGGTTCTAGACAGGGGCCAAGGGGGGCCAGGGCCCCTGTATGTTATGTTATCCTGTTATGGCCCCTGTAGTGAAGACAAAATACTTAAAAGAAATTCTAAAGATGATATGCGCTGGAACAGACATGATTACTGATAGGTCCTTTGGATCTATTTCATTGTTTCATTACAAATTCTGTTTTACTAATTATTCAAAAACAATAAGGTGATAGCTTCAGTGGTATTGAGATAGGATCCCAGTTTTCATCTGCTAAATGTTTTTTATTTCACAAGGAGATGATTTTAACAGTTTTCTTTAGTTCTAATTCAATTTTTTTTTTACAGAAAACGGTAGTTTTAACTTAAATTAAATCAAAAAATATGTAAAATTCCTAAATTATAAATGTTTATTGACCTCATAAGAAATAGAATTTCTATTGAACCTAATTGAATAGAAATTTCACTTCATGCAGCTGTCTTAATATATTTGAATCTCTTGCCCTTTTTTTATTTCATGTTTTTCTGGGCCCCCATGAAAACAAGCTGCCCCCCTGGTAAATTTGGTCTAGATCCGCCACTGGTTGTTTACATAGTTAAAGGAATAGTACACCCAAAACATGATTAGCCTTCATTTTCTACTCAC